ACTTTGAACAACAAGAAATTAGAATGGACTGATCCAAAAGCCAAATTATGTGCTGTCTGCTCTTCTGCACACCACAATGCTACTACATGCCCGAGACGTCGTCAGTCTCCCAAGGATCGCAATATGCAGAATCTTTACCAGCGTTTTCAACCCGCCCAGTTTAATAACTATACAGCACCAAAAAGAAGTCCCATACGAGGAGCAGTCTGTGATCATATCACTTTTGCTCAAGTAACCAAAAACACTCAACAAATCACCAATCCTCAAAAAGGACTGAAAAGGAGACCTCCTCCTCCTCCATCACCAATTAATAAAAATCGTAATAATAGTAACGATAATACCTCTTCCCATAACCCTCCCAATGAAAAACTGAAATTACATTGGGCAGACGAACCCTTTGATGATTTTATGGAAACTGAAGTTCTTCCCACACCAAAACTAAATAACGGCACAGCAACAGGTGGTTCGATTCACGACCCTGATTTCAAGGATTTTGTCACATCTAGACTCACCTCAATTTCCAACGCTATTTCTGACCTTTGTTTTGAATTCAAATTTTCGCAACAACGTCTCGCTGTAGTAGAAAAAGCCCTCGATATTAAAGTCATCACTCCTGCCAAGGCGGATGAATTTAATAATAACTTACCTGACTCTACTACTGAAGCTGACAAGAAATCCCCACATATCAACACTGATCTTTGCACTGCTCATTTGCAAAAAAAATCAAACAGTCAGCTTATTCTAATCTGCCAGAAACAACAACAACGAATTTCTCAATTCACTCCGATACTCAATCAGTTACTCCAATCCTGTCATGATCTCCAGACTACACTTCTAAACAAAAATATCCTCAACAAGCATGATACTCAAATCTTTGAACCATTGAATGATGATTTTGATAAAGCCATTGAACGCTGCATAGGCAGCTTCCCAAATTAAAATTTAATCTTATTATGAATACTGTCCCTACAAAATACGATAATAATACCCTTAGTTCTCATACTCCATCTATACAAAATCTCAGAATTGCCACCCACAATGTCCGTTCCATTAATGATCAAACAAAACAAAATTTTCTATTCTCCCTATATTCTGTAAACCAATTCGACATTATAGGCTTACAAGAAACAAATTTCAAAGGAAAATCATCAATTTTTAATCGAGACTTTCCACACTACGCTACATTCTTTAGTAACAATCACAATTCCTGTTCAATCAGAACCGGCGTTAGTCTCTCCTTCAGCCCCTCCATTGCTAAACACATTTTTGCTCATGACTCATCGTTAGATAGAATTATATACGCAAAACTCCAATTTGCAAACAAACAAAAGTTAATGATAATTAACTGCTACATTCC